ACCGAGGTCGAGAATGCACAGTGGCTTTTTTTTTTTTTTAGAACTAAAAAACATATAAATGAATACATGTGTTTTACTAAGAAATAAAGATCGTAGAGTCAGACGTGAAAAACATTTTTCTTTTTACTTAAGTAAAATTATTCTGTTGATATTATTCTGAAATTTGAATTTCATACCTCGCACTATATAACATACTTGTTTCCACGTCAGTACAGCTACTGTAGTTTTTTGTAAAGTAACACGGTCAGGGGCAGATCCAAGTTTTGTGGGGCTTCAAAAGTTTTACAAATTGGGGGACCCTCTTTAGGGAAAATATTTAAAAATTAGGTATGGAAGTGAGTATTACTTAGATGAGAAATCACAACAAATTACAAAAGAAGAGGTGGTATGTATATGCAATGGGATATTATCCCGCCATGAAAAAGAATGAAATCCTGCCATTTGCAACAAAATGGATGGACCTTGAGGGCATTAGGCTAAGTGAAAAAAGTCAGGCAGAGAAAGACAAATACCATATTATCCCACTTACACACGGAATCTAAGAAACAAAAGCAAGCTCGTAGACACAGAATGGATTGGTGGTTATCAGAATCAGGGGCTGGGGCTTGGTCAAAAGGCACAAACCTATAAAATAAGTCATGGGGATATAATGCACAGCATGGCGACGATAGTTTATAATATTGCATATTTGGAAGTTGCTTTTTGAATTCTGTCCATTCATGGAGGTTATTGCTATTATTTGGGATGATCACTTCAATTCTGAATTTTGGCTTAAGATGCATACTGTATGTGTTTACTTCAGTAACATATACTAAGTTCTAAGCTCTCTACCTTTTAACTTGATAGGATTTTAAGACATGGAAATGCCTTTCAAACTGGTTTTTAAAGACCTTTGAGCTAAATGGTATCTTGCAATTTTTTCATATTTTTAAGACCATAAAATGCTCTTGAATATTTGAAATTGTATCTGATTGAAATTTGGAACTCTTGAATGACTAACTGATGGTCAGAATTTATGAAATCATTCTACTGGCATCCTCCCTTAAGCCAGAAAATGCTTGTTAACTATGTGATTAACATTTATTAAATCTTATATTTTTCACTGATAAAGTAAATGAACCAGAATAACAACATGTTTGAAAAAGATAAAAATATAGGCTATTCAATTCACTACCTTTACTGACTTTATGTAATTTTTCTTCTGTGTACTTTTATGCACTCACAGCTTTCCATGGATCCAACATGATGTAACCAAGTGCAATGATTATTGCCTTTTACAACACTTATGTTCTTTTGACACAGTCCCATTAATCTGAATT